CATCCACCTTTGTTGAATACTATCTTCTAAGAAAAGTATTTTTTTATCTTCATCCTTAATACACTTCACTTGAACTAAATCCTTAATACTCCTATCTCTTTCTTTAACTAACTTATACATATATCTTTCTCCCTCTTTAGTATCTAATATATTATATAAATCACTAAAAGCTGATGTCTTTGTATCGCAAATTGCTTTCTTAGCATCCTTATGAGCCACTTTATATATTTCCCAATTATCAGAATTTTTAAAAATTAAACCAATTTTTATAACAAAACTTTTTATTTTTAATCTTTTCTTACACATTTGGATTCCATCACCAACTATTTTTACTATTAGGATATTTTCCCTTTGAAACTCCAAGGACATCTTTTGCAATATTCTTAATATCACCAGGCACTTTTTCACACATAACATTAGCATTCTCTTGCACGGACAAAATCTTAAGATCTAAAATCTTATTCTCAAAAATATTTTTGTGAATATTCTTTAAATGCCCCTCATCTAATCCTAGAAAATCGTTTTACATTATTTTTTATTTTATGTACCTTTATCTTAAAGTCCAAAACTAATAATCGATGTGTGAAAATGCTTAGGAGATGGCTAAGAAAATTGTAATTTTTCTATAAAAGATGTTTAATGCAATGACAAGCTTAAGAAATGCAGTGAATGAAAAATTTTCTTTATATATTTAAGAACTTTTTCAATAACTATTTCAATAAATAAAGACAAAATATGTATGTATTAATGAACAAAAATAAATATTAAAACATGATAAATCAGATTCTTATCATTTAAAGTCATGATTTTATAAATAGGATATCTCAAGTGTAAGCAGGTATGAAAGATTTCATCTACTCAGAGCTCATACAAATTTTCAAACATTAAGGTTTGAGAGCTCATACAAATTTTCAAACATTAAGGTTTGAGAGCTCATACAAATTTTCAAACATTAAGGTTTGAGAGCTCATACAAATTTTCAAACATTAAGGTTTGAGAGCTCATACAAATTTTCAAACATTAAGGTTTGAGAGCTCATACAAATTTTCAAACATTAAGTTTTGATGTTATCCATTAACAATCATTGGATGCCTGTTGATAGAGGAGATGGCTATCTTACTTGTTGACTTTTCTTGTCTCTTGGATTCCTTAGAAAAGTATTATTGGAGCCGTATACTGATATCAGTATGTTGATGGAGGTTGAAAGGATCTCCGAGAGGGTGATGATGCTTGCTTGTGATGTATGTTATGTGTGAAATCGGATTGTTCTGTTACCTCATACCTCAAGTATCTCGTGCTCGCTAGGGGGTGCGGGGGGTTCACTCCCTACTTGGGTTCGGATGCTTTGCAGACAATTTTCTTTTACTGTATAACGCCCTGGTGTTGTGTACATGAGCTCCCCGGTGCTACATACCCAATGCTGAACGATAGAGAACAGAGTGTATAAAAGAGAATTGTATCTCTAAATAGGCAAAAGAGATAAGAGAACACTGTACGAGAAAAACGAATCCCTAAAATGACCCTTTGACACTGTTTGTAGGGATTTTAGCACCACAAGAAAGGCATAAAAAATATATCAGAGATATATGAGATCTATTAAAAAAAAAAAAGTTCACCTATATGTACATGTGTGACACAAAGCTAAACACATGTGAAAGGAAGTGATGTTAGGATGTCACATAATCACCTAATAATGCTACCTAAAAGATCCAATCAATTGCGACATGCAGGAGAAGATCATTGTATCATAAGAGGAAGTTGCCCGATTACTAGGAAAATGAGAATATAATGAAAAAACTATTCATTTAAGACTTCTCAAGACATTTTCTCCATCCTTTGGGTAACTATATTGAATAAAAAAAGTATTAGAGAGGCTATGTCTGCATAGACTTGGTTCGGATGAATTATTATTTTATGTTGTAAAGGTTGGAGCGTTCAACCTTTTTATATGAAGAGTAGAGGTGAAGGTCACTGGGAACTTATTGTCTCTAGCTTGTGGCCACAAGCAACTCATAAAAGGAGAAATTAGAATAGATCAATGGTGGATTGAAATGAACAATGTGCTGTCAGCTTTGCATATAAGAATGGTAATTACGTTCATGAATCTTTTTTTGGATCATTTAAATTTGAAATTGAATTGAAATAAAGCTAAAATCTAACTTTTGTGTGTTGATATGAAGTCCTCTCAATAGAATCTGACTAGATATCAACTTAAAAACACCTATGCATGCAAGTATATAGGGGTGTCAATTTCGGGTCACATGTCGGGTTCGGGTCGAAAACCTTAACCCGAACCTGACCTGATTTTGCAAACGGGTCGAAAACCTTAACCTGAACCCGACCTGGTTTGGGTTCGGGTCAACACAAACCCGAAATTTTTTGGTCGGGTTAGAGACGGGTTTTCGGGTCGTATCCAATATTGACACCCCTACAAGTATAAAATGCCAAATGTACTTGATGGGTCTTGGGTTGTACGCCCAAATATTCCAAAAGTCTAACTTCGGACAAGCCGACATAATTGGCAGAAATAATTTTGTACGGAGTCCGAACACAAAAAATCGTTCTAACTGTGAATGTACACATAATATATATATAAATTTAATACACACTATATATACAAATATGTACATAATATGCACACTCATATATCCAAATGATTTTTTCAATCCAGGCTCCGCACATAATAATAAACCAGCCAAAATAGAGGAGAACTTGCTACATCCACAATGAAGTCAAGAGGGCACAATAAACTAGCCAAAACGGCAAGGCCCACTTGCTCGAAGATTGACTAGCTCACCATGAGGCATACTCGCCAAAGGGTCCATTCGGCCAATCACAAGACCAACTTTCCCCATCTCAAAATGTTGATCATTTCTAATACTTAGGCTAAATTTTTTGTATTAAAACTCTATTTTAAAAAATAGTAAAAAAAAAATCATCTCAAACAAAACCTTAATAGATAACTTACACTACCATATACTCATAAATGCTCATACTTAAAACTTCCACATATATATCAAAGGTATTCTCATGCATTTCTCATTTATTTTTATGAGGTAAATAATGCAACTTTTCTTACAAATACATAATTAAAAGACAATTTTCGTACAGCACATCATTTGGGGGTACTTACAGCTGGTAGTAAAATCTTCAAATTCCTCTCCCTAAAAATCTCTCCTTTCTTCATTCTCGATTTTCTCAGTATTTTTTCTTCTGTGAAATCTTGCAAGTTCTATTAATAAAATTCTCATAACACCAAGCCTATTAAAAAGGGTCGTGTAAGGTAGAAATTATTCTGTGCAAAGGCTAGACTAATAACATTATCCGGTGACAAATTAGAATGTGCCACATCAACGATGCCGAAAAATAATATCTAGCACAAAGGTGAAGTTGCACATTCTTATTGATTTCTAAACAACATTCCACAACCACACAGAATAATTAATTCATGTAGGGACACATTTCACCTCCAAAATTTTAATATTTTAATAATTAATCATATATTACAATCATTTCAATCTAACAAATTTTTATTAAGTCCGATGTCTTGACATAGCTCCACGTTCGAACGCCACTAAATTAGTGCCACGTGCTATTACTCTTTACCGCGAGGCCCGATTACCCGACCCGAAATTATTATTTATTGACTGATTTGTACATACCATGATATTGCCAGGTATTGCTCGATATTACTCGGCAATAACGAAAAATATCATTCTGTCAAGACCAATGCCTAGCAATACCGAACAATACCCCAGTTTTGCTCGGTATTGCTTGATATTGCTTGGTATTGGTCTTGACAGAGCGGTATTTCTCGTTATTGCCAAGCAGTACCTAACAATACCTAGCAATACCTAACAATACCCGAATATAACAATACCGGGTTCCGATCCAGGTCAGGTCGTCGGGCCGCGCGGTAAAAAATAAGAGCACGTGACGACATGTTATTGACCTCCGGATGTAGAGCTACGTCCGATGTCCGGACCTAATAATTATTTCAATCTAACAGACTAGAAATCCATGCCAACTACGACCCAAATTTCGCCCAATATTTTCAATAAGCAAACAGCTTTTAAAGATCATGTGAAGTATGAGAAAAAAAAAAAAGCCAAAAACAAGATTGTTTATTGATTCTTAAAGAAGGGGGAACTTGCAGTGTTCTCTGCAAGCTTTTTCTCCAAGCTGTCCATCTTCAAGCACCCCTTCAAAGAAATGGAGATTTCTTACTGGCAGAATAAATAAACAAATTATCTGTACAATGGTTCCCACAAACTTTCCATGCGGGAAACAAACAAACCAGCTCAACATATTTAGAATTACACCATATGACATTTCATTACATTTTCTCACTCTTGTAAAACCTCTCTCACTTCCTATACCTTTAAAAGAGGGCACAAAAAGACATATGGGAATTCATATTATGACAGTTCAACCTCATCAAGATCTTCACCTGGAGAGCCAACATTGAATTGCTGTAACAAACTGCTTGGATGTACTGTTGCAGGATTTGATGGGAAAAATGGCGTTATTTCATTGAATTTAGCATTGCTTGTTATCATCGGAGAGTGAGAAAGGAAGCCATTCCCGTTCTGTAATGCTGTTGTTGTCTCCTTGTTCTTATATGGGTCTATATTAGTCATAGTAGGAAGTCTTTCGATGGTTGATGATGGTGGCGGTGGCGGCGACGGCGAATTAAATGATATTTCAGTGCCTAATGATGTACTAAGATCTCCGTCGGTTCCAGTTTCAGGAATACCGGCTCCGGAGGAATTAACCACATCTTCATTAGAGGGCGCCGCTGGGACAAAAAATTTGGCTGCAGCAGCAGGTTTAGCAGCTGGAGCTGAAGGGGATTGGAACGAGTTGGATAGTGAATCGCTGCCTTTGTTGAAGGTATCAACATACCTGGGTAAAAGCCAATCAATGTAAGCCAGACCATACGAAAAGAGTGATGAAGAAGCATAGAAGACTAAGTCTTCGTTTGGGACGGCTTTGTTACTGCTTCTTAAAGCAACTTTTTAGCCGAAAATTTTTATTTTTTTATTAAAAGACTGCTTTAAGAAGTAGTAAGAAAGCCGTCACAAACGAAGCCTAAAGCTCACCTTGATCGAACACCGCCCATTCTGCGTGCTGAGAATTGGCTGGGACTGGGTGACATGGGTGGGATTCCAGAGCTCTCCGAAGGAGTCGGAGATTTTGTTTCTGAGCCTCTATTAGCAGTGAGGTTTTGATTCTTCAAGGCATTGTTGATGTTGTACTCTGTGGTGCCATTCTGGAATGAGGTGATTTTTGGAGGTGGTGGTAAGGAGACTTCTTCAGGAGGTTCTGCGCCTTCTTCTACCCATCTTTTGAGTTTCTCGTCGTAGTAAAACTTGTTACTTTCTCCTAATTTTGCCTTTCATAGAGGAAATGCACAAAAATTGTGTTTGCTTTATTTCAAAGCATAAAAGAAAAATTAAAGAAGATTTAGGCTTCGTTTGGAACAGCTTTCGTACTGCTTCCTAAAACGACTTTTTAGTATAAAATTTCTAATTTAAGAAATTTTTATACTAAAAAGCTGATTTAGAAAGCAACAAAAAAGCTGTCCCAAACGAAACCTTAGAGTGATAAATACCTGTCGATCTGAACGTGATCTTGATACCCAACTCACGGTCTTTTGAAAGAACTGTGAGCCTATGCGACCAAAACGAGATGGTGATGTTTTGTTTTGAGCATCTCCTGAACTGGAACGGTTTTTTGCATCCTGCATGAAATAGGCAAATGCACTCATGTTTCATTGATGCAAGCAGGTCAAATGGACAAGCGAAAATACTTCAACTAGAGCAACAAATTTAAAGATGCAATATCCATCAAAGATACTAATAAGTTGCAGTAGTATTGCCAAAGTATGAACGATGCAATGCAATGCAATGCCATTATAATGTTTCTACCCTTATCCTAATTATTTGGAGTTAAATATCTTAAGAATTCAGAGTTTTCTAACGTAAATCAAAGATGAGATGAACAAATTCATGCGTGCAAATCAGATCTGACGTTCACAAACCATTAATTTAAACAAGCAATCATCCGTTTAAGTGCAAGCCATAAACATGCAAAATCAAACCAAGATAACTTAACACACATCTAATACAGATTTCACATAAAATTTAAGATAAAAAAGAATCATACGTTTGATTGAAAAGTTACAAAACAATAAAAAAACAAATAATGCTAGATTTAACAAGAATAAGCAATTTAAGTAAGTCAATTACTAAATTAGTGATAAAATTAGAGATGAAAATGAATCACCGAACAACAAATTTTATAAGTCAAGCCGGTACAAGGGGATAACTTTCCTCTAAAACCCTGCAATCTCCAATTTGAGGGTACTTTTCTATCACAGCACAGGCCCAATGCATTCCTCAACTTCAACCATCCAACTTAAATTCTACAAATAATATTCCCATCTATTTCACCATCACTTTAAAACAATAAACCCGAGATATCCAAAATGTGCACTCTTTTTAATGACTTGATCACCTAATATCACAATCCCACTACTAAATCTATTACTACTAAAATTACACTCCATAAATTCAGTTGTAGATCTACTCAAATAAAAACCTTTAGAATCTAAAGATGACATCCATAACTCCAGTTTTTCATCAACTCTCTCTCTCTCTCTAGTCCTATCAAGAAGAAGAATATCATCAGCAAAAAGCATACATCAAGGTACATCCTCTTGCAAATCTTGTTTAATAAAATCTGATGCAACTAACAAGTAAAAATATCCACCTGCTTCGGGGTTCTACCAAAATCTGGCTCTGAAATGCTTCTGCTGTGCAAACTTTTCCGGCCAGAATCAGTTGTCCATTCACTCATGCCATCTACTGATGCTGATGGAATCAAGGTTGACATGGCCATTGTAGACTGACTGTTTACTACCTTTGTGGAAACCAGGTGGCTTCCTTTACCATTGGCATTGTTCTGTGGCATTGGCGGCAATGATGACGGGGCGCCCATCATACGATGTATTGACCTATCGATGGAAGTAAATAATTTACCAACAATTTTAGAAGGGGCCAAGTTTTCACCATATCCACCCTGGAAAATAGACGCACATTAGCAAATGTAGAAACTCCATCCAAAAGATGCAACCAGAAAAAATAATACCTGCTGATGGGCGGATAATCTCTCTTCAAGTGAAGATAACAATGACTTCCATATTTCTACTTCAGGAGTACGAGTAGAATTTCGTAACAATTTCATAGATGCTTGACAGTACCTGCATGAGAAACAACATAAATAACAGAATATATGCTCATCAGGAAGTGCTGGAATAGGCATCTTACCCACCTCAGTGAATCAGATGTTTTCCCAATCTCAGCAAGCATATTGGCATATATAAGCTTATATGGTTGAAAAGGGTGGAGGACAAACTGGGAATTTCCAAGAACTTTTGCATATTCATATAATTCTGTTCTCTACAAATTCAATGAAGAAGTTAGACTGAAAATACAAAAAATACCAAATGAAAAAGAATTGAACGCAGAAAAGAATTTCAAGATTTGAATGATTCATCAACAACAACAACATGAAGCCTTTATCCCATTACACGGGGTCGGCTACATGAATTTTTTTTCTCCATTGTATCATGTTAAGAGTCAGATTCTCATTTACATCTAATAAAAAAAAAGGTCATTTCTAATACTTTCTAACCAAATTTGTTTATGTCTACCTCTACATTTCTTCTTATCACGGGTCAAATCTAATACATCTACTCTACTGACTAGGTCATTTGAATTCATCACTGAAGAGAAAATTAACTAAAATTGGAAAATGAGTGAAAATAGAATGAACAGAAAGCTTTGCAGATCACCTATGTAAACTTTTAACCGCAATTCACTAACAATCATATTAGAAAAAAATCAAGTTTACTAAAAATAATTAGCCAAATGTTACACAGACTACAAGACGACAAGCATAAAGAAATTGGACAATCATGACGGAAGTCACAACTTTTACCATCACAAAGAGTATGCTTTCATTAGTTCTAACATATGTTAACAGAATTCACATATCCAAGTGATGAGGTCATCGATAGGAGATTTCGGCGCGTCTATCAGAGACGTTTGGAGAGGAGATCCTCTCCGTAACAAAGCCGGCGTCTCCGTTTTACATCACCAAGTCAGTTCCAGTTATTTCTTTAAAAAAAAAAAAGCACAGCTCACAATGTACTTCAAGTATATACTTCCCTAAAATTTGGAATCTCCGCGCAATTACATCTTTGCTTGTCTCCCTTCCATCTTCATTAAAGACATTGGGGAATTATGGGAATCTAAGTATCGGTGTGGCAAACAAAATATAAAATAGAGGGTGTACCTGTGTATGGTGCTCCAGCCAGCCGAGTACTGTAGAGAGGATGACGTATTTAGCATTACCCATCCATTTGCAAATATGATTTTTCCATGACTTGAACCTGGGACTTCCATATTACTTGAGAAGCAACTTAAAGATTCCTCCAGGCTCACAGCTATGAGGATATACTAGTCAAAATATCAGTACCTAATCTACATGTTTTCCTATAGTCTTGACGCAGATGCATGTTTATTATTTCATGCACAAAGTCACTAGATGCTTATTCCGATATATTGATTTGTTGGCATCATATCAAACATATGCAAGCGTGATCACGTAACATTTTATGTGTGCATTTTTTTACAAAGCAAATGATACATCCCAATGCACTTCTATAGCAACTATCATTTTGACAGCGAGAACAAGGGAAGAAGGGAGAGCAAGAGTGCTTATGAAAGAGAGAGATCCTAATTTGATGCCAAGGCATCAAAATCACAAATGATAATCAAGAATAATCCAACTATCATATTCATATGGATTTAATGTAGAAATACAACATTGAAGGGGGTGAGGGGAGAAAAGCTAACACATCTTATTGAAAACAATATCATGACCATTCTGCAGATAAAAATGTGTTTTTCCATTCAACACTTCAATATATATGCCAGTCCATAGACTGACCAGCACATTTTACAAATTAGCTTAACAGTTTAAACATCTAAACAAAATAAATTATGCAGTGAAATAGGCGCCGTAAGTCGCTAAAATGATTAACCATTGAAAAGAAAGCATGTATATGCCCTCCTCCTTTCATCACCACTCATTCGATTCTTCATAATTTACCACAATCTTAACATTCTCATTTTAGTGGCAACCAAATTGGCCATCAAAAACCGCTTTGCTGCTCAATATGAATTTCATATAACATAATCGGTCTAATATATTGCAATAAACATGGCCTGTTGTTGCAGGATGCAACATTTCCAGTCTCCTTTTCCTTTTCAAAGAAAATTGTAACGAGTCATGCATAGCAAATTGGTGCAATTTTATCTGAAATCTTCGATTTCTGTCAAGAATCAAGAGTTTGAAGCAGTTTTTATTGCTTTTACTAGGAAGTGGGTTCATACAAAGGAGCATATATGAGAGGGTTTTTTATTTGCTACTAGCTTCAGTTGATTCCCTGCTAATCTAGAGGACAGGGAAGCAAAGTGAGGGGATAAATCCCTGACCAAATTGTCAGGTATTGATTAGAATAAAACAAATAAAATATGAAAAAGGTTTAAATGTTCATGAATAATTTGGTTAGGATCGCCCAAAAAAGTATGCTTTCTTTGGCAACTGATAATTTAGTACAAGATAGATGTTGTCTTTAATTCATTTGATAGATATTAAGCTTTTTAGATATTTCTTGTGAGTAATGAAGCAGTTGTTGCAATATGTGTTCTTTTCCTCTAATTAACTCTTACACTTCATTATAGTTCCAAGGATATCACATTATTTTTACTCAAATAATCAGATTGTGATGCAACCAAAATTATAGGAAATTAAGATTGCATAGAAAACTAGTCTGTCTTCCTTTAAAGATGACAAAACACACTAAATTTGACAAATACACACTAAACAACTCACAACAAACTTTCAACATCTAATAAAAACCACTTACAAATTATATTAGACCAAGACACAACATAACTTAAAAATTTAGAGAGAAGAAAGATACAATGGGTGGAAACTTGTGGAGAGAAGAAATAGATAAGAAGCTCGAGACGAATTCAAAGATGGGAAGGGGAAAGAAGCTAGTTCGCAAGCTAGATAACCCGCAGGTTATATTGAGAAGAATGATACATTTGGAGTGACAACTTGTGGAGAGAAGAAATAGATAAGAAGCCTGAGACGATGTCATAGAGAGGAGAAGAGAAAGGGGGGCATAGCTCGCAAGCTATTAAAGAAGAACCCTCGGGTTTTCTTTAAAAAAATCATCACATAGTAAAGAAAAGGAGGCCAAAAGTCATGCTTAGCCGCCCACCACAGCCAACCAAAAGAGGAGAAAAAACAACATTTAAGGCTCCCAAAAACCGAACCACCACAACTAGGAACCGAGGGACCCAGGCAGAGGAACCGAACAGCCAAGCGGGCAGGAACCGAACAGCCCAGCAGGCAAAGAACATAACATCCAGCAAGGGAACCGAGAAAGCCGGGACCCGAACAGCCAAATGCTAAGGGAACCGGGAAAGCCATGCAGGAATCTATGGCTTGCTTACATCAATTCTCCTCCAAATGAGAGATCTCATCTCCTGATGAGATGACTTCAGAACCTCCATGACGTGAACAAAAGAAGACACAAAACTTAGGCTCTGATACCAAAATGATACAACCAAAATTATAGGAAACTAAGATTGCATACAAACTAGTCGTCTTCCTTTAAAGATGACCAAACACACTAAATTTGACAAATACACACACTAAACAACTCACAACAAACTTTCAACATCTAATAGATACCACTTACAAATTATATTAGACCAAGACACGACATAACTTATAAAATTTAGAGAGAAGAAAGATACAATATGGTGGAAACTTGTGGAGAGAAGAAATAGATAAGAAGTCCGAGATGAATTCAAAGAGGGGAAGGAGAAAGAAGCTAGCTCTCAAGCTAGATAACCCGCATGTTATATTGAGAAGAAACATACATTTGGAGTGGCAGCTTGTGGAGAGAAGAAATAGATAAGAAGCCCGAGACGAAGTTATAGAGAGGAGAAGAGAAAGGCGGACATAGCTCACAAGCTATTAAAGAAGAACCCTCATGTTTTCTTTCCAAAAATCATCGCATATATCTCCTTCCTAAAATTGTATAAAACAACTCCTATAAATAGTAAGGAAAAGGAGGCCAAAAGCCATGCTCAGCCGCCCACCACAGCCAGCCAAAAGAGGAGAATAAAGCATTTAAGGATCCCAGAAACCGAACCACCACAACCAGAAACCGGGACAGAAACATGAACTGAGGGACCCAAGCAGAGGAATCAAACAGCCAAGCGGGCAGGAACCGAACAGCCCAACAGGAAGGGAATCGAACAGATTTTCTAGAACTTCTCACTTATAGATGATTACTATAGCAAATTACTGCAAATTATTGCGTTGAATAATCAAGTGATCAGAAAGGAAAACTTTATATTACTATTATTTGGTTGACCTTGTATACTTTCTTATTTTGGTCCTTGGGGTTATACATTACATTAATAAACTTCTACAGTTGTAGGCGTTTTAATTTACCAATAATAACATTCCTAAAATTAACATAGATACTATAAAATTAAATACAAAAAGAATATTTAGGAGGCCACAAAAGATTAGAGGAATGATAAATGAGAACCATAAAGTTTTAAATATTGAGGTTGACTATAGAGTTATGTATGTTTTGTCAATCAATTACTCAGCATGTTGCAAATTCCAAAGATATTGTTAATCCAAGTATAGTGTGGGCTCCAAAAATTCGCGCTCCGGCCTTCCGCAACCCCTTTCTTTTTCTTTTTCTTTTTGTCATCAAGGAGAGTTTTAACAAATTTAGGTTCCGATATAAAATTTTTAGAAGAAAAATTGGGTTTTTAGATAAGACATTGCCCAGAGATTTTGCCCTCATTTTACGAGGACTTTATGATCTAAGTTCAAATTTCTTATAAGCGCAAACCCCTATAGCTAATTATCCCTCCCAATAACAAGAGAGAACTTTCGATTATAGCTAGTCGTTGAACAAATACGTAGTATCCACCATATAGTAGCTCCATAATTTGATATTGAAAATTGAAATTTTATCACCGTCCACTTAAAGCAGATGATGGGGGGGAATGATAATGAACCCGATAAAGATCACATGGTTCCATTATCCTGAATCATCATAGTCCCTAATCCATTTAGTCAATGAAGGTAGGCGACCCAACCGATAGATCCTTGTTGGTAGCCATGGATCGCGTCATCCAAGGGTACCTTATAGACTTTGGGTAATATTTACCTAAGGGGATAAATTTGAGTCCACCTTAGTTAACAAAGGACTTTGTGCCCGATCTATTATACCCTATTGATTCATTACTCAAGTATTTAAAGCCATTGGAGAACATACTGGCTCTAA